GTTGTGAATTTTAGGGCTCCTACGGTGTCATAATGAGTAGTGTATATTTGAGGGGTTAGGGTTCTTGTTTGCTGACGATTAATGATTTCAAAAAGTAGCTTCTTCTCCACCACCAGCCCCAAGGTCATTAGAACGATGTGTTTCCATATGGGCAGGGTAAGACAAACCCAGAAACAAAAAGTGATTGACTGTTTAGAATGGGTCTCTAACCTGAGATTTGCTTTGCTATTGCTGTCCTAACTTCCTAAGAGTGAGAGTTCATTTTAAATTTGCAAACCCCGTCGCTTTTTCCACTTCCAGAAAGATAAAAGGATTAGATTGATTGTTTTCTTTTTCTGTAAATGATCATTACTGTTGAGAAGAATGGCTTTGTCCCTGTTTGTAGTCTTCCAGAACCCAGTTATTGTTGCCCTGTTTGTTCGAGTTCCTGTAGGGTACGGCTTATCCTTGTGGCTGAAGAAATACCACTCATTTTGTGGTTTTTGTTTCTTGAAACCTGTTATCGTTTAGACTGCAAGTATTTTATTAGGGGGTCGTTTGGATGTGGAAATTTGAAAACGTTGGAATTTGTCTGAATTTCCATGTTTTACAAAACCAAGGAATTGACTTGTGGAAATTGAAAAAAATTCACGTTTGGATATGGTTTAGTTTTGTGAGAATTGATGGTGTGGAATTTGGAAAAAGAAGTGAGAAAACGTGGTAATGTCAAATTACTAGGGGGAGGTGTAGTATTCTCAATTACCATGAATGTGGTAATTGAAGCCAATTTCCATAGTCCAATTCCCATACCCTTTTTGCTCTCCCAAACGTGGGGTTTTAACCCAATTACTGCATTATGTGGTAATTGGGTCCAATTACTGCATTACATTTCCACATCCAAACGCCCCCTAGATTTCTTGGATTAGATCTGAGCTTCATGGCATGGCAGTACTAAATCCAATCGATTTGTTTTAATTGTACTTTTGATATTTGCTTATGTGGTGCCATTCGTAAATGTGCAACTCAAAAAAATTTCAATGTATTCAACAAAACAATCATTCATATAAATCCGAAGATTTGTTCTTCCATAATTTCATAATTTAATATACTCTTTTACAACTTGAAATTGCAACAAATAAAGTTGATGCTATCTTCAAAAGAAAGTAAAGTGGAGAAGTGGGGGGAAAACCTACAAATGGAGATTTAGTCTTCGCAAAAAATGGTGCGGAGTGGGTTCTTTTGCTTCACAATATGGTGGAATGGCTTGAAAAAACATATATTGATCAAACGAACCAATAAAGATTTTCATCAATCTCCCTCTTTAGGCGTCTCTCGAAAATCACTCCCGGCAACTTATCGTTCGTCGATGCCATTTACATTGTTTACATTTGTTTCCTCCTCAACTTATTCTGATTTAACAAGGCAAAGGAATATGTCATCGTTGCAAGCCTCTGCCTCCATCGAACAGTGTCACCAATAATGTAGCAGACGCTCACAAGTAAGAGGAGAGGAGAGTCGCATTTCCATGTGGTTCTTCAGCCTCATTTTGTGCAGTCACCCTCTTGCAATCGTAGAAAACAAGTTGTAGGTGGTGTCGAAATGTCGCCATCACTAGCCTTCCACTGGCTCTCTCACTTTTTTCAAATGGATACCTAAGGTACCATGCTCTCTCGCTGGTTGGTAAAGCAGTCATGCTTCCTTCACCTAAGAGAGAACTTAATTTAGCGGCTCTTTACAAAAGGTGCGGGATTTTAGTTTTACCTAACTTCATCTTGTCAGTGAAAATTTTGAATGAGGATATGGTTCATTTAATAAAAGCCTCCAGTGATTGAATTGAGTCAAAAGTGAGTTACTATTTCTTTTTTCTCTTGAATTTCGGGTCATGGATGCTATAATAGGAGGGACGTCTCATGGTTCCCCTTTTATTTCTGGGTTTAAAGAGCAATTGATGATTCTATGCTCTAACAATGTTATGTTCTTGGTCTATCCTTCCATCATTCATCTTGTGCTTACACGGTTACACCCATATCAAACCGAGCTATAACAAATCAAACCGAGCTAAGGATTGGATAAACTAAACTAAACTTGTAGTGGAGGTTCTTCTTGTGTATCCTGCTTTAATCCTGCAAAATTTTGTGACTGTGGCAGCTGTTAATGTGCTTTACTCCTGCTACTGCTGCAAGTATACAAAACACAGAAAAATACTATGAAACAGCAATCGATCGGAGGAGCACCGATGGATTTCATTTATCAGGCACAAAGGAAATGCTTGAAATAGAAGAACACTGACCTTTTCCTTTATTACTCTTTTAGGTTGAAATCGATCCTAGGAGGAACACCCACAAACAACCATCTCTTCTTCACTATAAGGGAAGACTAATAGAAGGTTAAAATAATCTAATTTGTTAGTAGTCCATTGTAAATTATAACATTTTCCAGTAAACAGAAAACACAATCCCTTGTCGCTATCTAAACCCATAAATACAAAAAAGGGAAACATTTAAACCAACATTCACATTGCAGCAACCATGAGGAGATCAACTTGATTGAATGCAAAGAGAAAGCTTTGATACATAGAATGAAAGAAAAAAATCATTAGATTGTTTAGTGACTCAATTATCCTATTTATACAACTAAACTTACTATACTAGGTTTAATTTCTAATCCTATCTAACTGGTTAGATTGAACCAACCTTGTCTAGAATAGGATGAGGATGAACAAGTTTCAAGTCAGATGGCCAAATGACAAATAAAAGCATGCTAAAGCTTAGAGTATGATGCTAGGAAGAAAATATAGCATGAAACTAATCTCAAATTGTCACAATGATGATTATGGCATACACGGTGTAGTCAACTCGATCATATTTAAAAGAGGCATATTTATATACTAGCTTTTACTCGACCTGTTGGTCTGATGAATTTTGTTTTATTATATGTTGATCAATTTCTTCATTCTTTTAAATAATTTGAGGTTATCTAAAATAGTTAATTCATTATTACAAAGTAATCTTTATGGTATTTTTGATTATGACATTAGCGATAATTAGTTAATATGTATTTTTTATCAAGTCGTCCTAGTGTAATGTTGTGTATTTTTTCATATCTAAGAAGAAATTTGTGACTTTTTATTGCCATATATGAATTTGGAGTTGGAAGAAAATATATGTCGTCTAGAATTTGTAGGAATTGAATGTAAATTAAAAAATCAAGAAAAAAACGAAAAGATTATGCCGAGAAATCTCAAATATGGAAGAACACGAAAAAATAATATTTATTATATAAATTATTATAATTTAGTATATAGGCTTGTTTGAATAATAAGCGGGGGTTGGTAAGTGTTAGATACTAATGCACGCAATATAAAGTTAAGAAAATCCAAACATAATAAAACATTGAATTCTACTCTACCAATACGATCTTTGACTTTTATGTGGAGCTAATAGGGTAATGTCTATTTTTTATCCACATCCTTTTCATATTCTTTTATATTATCCAAACCTATTAAAATGCTATTAATTAATCTTTCGTAATGCATCAAAATATTAGTCATTTTTACGTTATCGTTAATAATTTTTTAACTTTTTTATTAGTTAAAATACTAAAATTTTGAGATTATGATCTTCATGTGTCTCTTCCCAGTCAGTATCATGTTGCCAATAATTAATAGCCACGAACCCATCATCCTAGTATGTCTTTTTAATAAAAAAAATAATGAGAAACAAATAAATCGTCAAGATAAAAAAATCTTTCTTACTTTCCCTCTAAATTTTCAATGGTTGGAAGTTACAATAACCAAAGAATAACGTGTAAAAATGAAAGTAACAACTGTGGTATGGTATCTACACATGACATAAATATGAGGGAATGTTAGCATAAAATTTCTGACACGTCAGCCTCTCCTATTTAAACCGCATGATGCGGAGGGATTGATTTGTCAATTCCGTATCTGTACTGTTCGCCAAAAATTGCTGGCCCAATTGCTTTTTTTATTGGCCCAATTGCTTTTTTTATTGACAACGTAAGAACTATTTAAATTCTTTGATTTTTACTTTTTACAACCCCACTACTCACGTCCGCTGCATTCTTTTTATTCAAATTCATGCTATTATTTTTTGGTGGAAGTCATCTAACAATAAAATGAATTATTTTTTTCTATTTTTTCAGTTCCTCTTTTCATTTACTTTGGTACTACACCATAAAAGATTGATCCAAACCCGTGTTTGTAAAATTGTATTGTATGACGGTTCGATCGAAAAAAAAATTTAATGGAAGTCTGATTGTTAAGTAATTTTTAACGATGTGAATCAGTTGAACCACGGTTAAATCATAATTTCACATAAAATATCATACCGACTTTTTCGGTACAAACCTTAGTACAATTTTACAACCTTTATATAAACAAAAAAAGGTTTCACGTAGAATACCATAATCTTTTCACTAAGACCGACACTTTTATCATGTATATTATTGAATCCAATCTTTTTTTCTTAAGAAACTGGGTCCTGGGTAGATTAGTTAGATATGGGTTTCAATGAAAATTGGGGTTTCAATAAAAATAAACTTATTGCATTCTGTATAGATAATAGAGTTCGTTTGGTTTGGAAGTTGTGATTGTTATAGTTTTGTTTATTAAATACATGTTTTTAATATAATATATTATCTTTTATTAAAAAAGAGAATCTTTTAAAAAAATGATAAAGAGGGAAACATAAAAATGTGTTTATTTATTAAGGAAGCATATAACACTCACCAGGACTAGGGCTGTCAGTCGGTTTCGGTTTAACCGAAAACACCGAAAACCGAAAAGTTAGTTTTCGGTTAAACCGAACGACCCTCTAGCACTACCGACCGACGCGTTTCACACGGTCACCGCCTAACTGACCGGTCGGTTATCGGTTATAACCGCAGTTAGCCGAATTGAATACAAAGAAAAAAATAGAAGAAAAATCGGCCACCACACATTCAGACTCACCTTATCTTCTTCTTCTTCTCTCCTCACCCAAAATGAGAAAACAAACCGCCGAAGACTTTTCTTCTCCCCTCTCTCTCCTTTGCCTCCTAACCCTCCATCTCCAAGACCCTTCTTCTCTCCTCTCTCACTTTTCTTTTCCTTATGCTCGGGGACCCTCCATCTCCAAGACCCTTCTTCTCTCCTCTCTCACTCTTCTTTTCCTTCTGCTAGGGGACGGCCGATGGACGCTGTTCATCTGCTCGGGGACGGCGACGGCGAGGCGATGAGGACGAGATCTGGGCGAGGCGGCTGCGCGAGGCGAGGCGGCTGCGATGAGGACGAGATCTGGGCGAGGCGGCTGCGCGAGGCGAGGCGGCGAGGAAGGCATCTGAACGGGTCACGGCCGACGAGGAAGGATCTGCATGGCGGCAAGGAACGGAGGTAGGCGGCGGCCGTGAGGCGACAAGGAAGGGAGCTGGGCGGCGGCCGTGACTCGTGAGGGTGACTCGCAGATACATCTCTTCTCCAAAATTAGGGTTTCAGTTTGGGGTTTCAGTTTGGGGTTATAGGTTTTATATGTCATTTTTTTTGCAGGGAGGGCAATATATGAGGGTTTGTCGGTTTGGTTCGATTTTTTCGGATAATCGCGGTTAATAATGGTCGGTTACTCGGTTATCCGAAGCTTTGGTATTCTCCTCCGTCCACCGACCGAAGCAATTTTAGTCTCGGTTTTCGGTTAGCCGAAAACCGGTCGGTTCGATTGTAACCGCCGGTTATCCGCTAACCGGAAACCGAACTGCCAACCCTAACCAGGACACAAAAGAATTTTTTATTAAGAGGTTTGGAAGCCGAAGGTTAGTTTGCAAACCATGAGGAGGATTAGCAACATATTAATTTTCTCTTTTATTTCGGAAGCCAACTTACATTCCAGGACTAAACTTTAGCCTACATTGTTTCGTAATTAATTTTTTGTTTTGAAATTATAATTTATACTTAATTTTGTTGCTTTTATATTTTCACTAAATTGTGGAGTTCCATTAATTTTTATATAATTATAATTACAGAAATTTTAAAATATTATCATAAAACACATATATAATTAACTAGAACATATAATTATCCGGCCCGCAATCTAGTCTAATAATATAATTAGGCCGATTTGGGATTACGATATATTGAGTTAAATTGAGAGGATAGAGATAAATGAAACAAAGAGCCTAGCAGCCGCAACATTCCTTCTCCTTAAGTACGTAATACTCTCTACAGCTATAGACCTCACGCCGTCCTTTGTCATCCGCAGATGCCTCCAAAAGTAATTCAAATAATTGACCAATTAAGGACTAATTAAGGAGTCCCCAAGTTCTCGAAATAGGAAGAGCTCAGGCCATTCATTCTGGTTCTGGACTTACATTCAAATCCAAACAGTGCTTTGAAGATTGTACAATCGTATCTATACATATGTACCTTTTCATCCCTTTTCAGAAACTACAATTCCGTACGTTGAATCCCACAAAGACAAACTTATTAGTTTTTGGTGACGGCAAATCTGATGCTGAGGGGCAATATATAATAATGTCATTGAAAGAGGAAGCATAGAGTCCTAAATGTTTATGCACTGTTCCCAGTGTCCTTGCTCTTTCTTCAACTCGCTAGCGCCTTGTAATTTTACGGCATGCAGGATTGGATAGAGACGCTCTAGAAAAGTAACAATGTAACTCATATATATGGAAATATCCTTCCTCAATACACATCAAGTATCGGATAAAATAGTGGGTTGGACTTGGAGCCATACTTGAAGTAGTGCTGAGTTGTTTATTTGGCCATAGTGGGCTTTCTGTGCGGTTTGTAGGTCGGCGTAATAATAGGGTAGCTTATTTGGTGGTTAAGAGGGCCCTTCATTTGTATCGACTGCGAGTCGCTTTTTTGATTTTATGGCCTGGCTAAATTCCAGGATGTAACTATCTATTTTTCTGATCAATATATGATTATCTTTTGTAGAAAAAAAAAGTATCGGATAAAAGTTTGGAGTTCAGTCACTCATCAACACTAGCTCGATGTCCGAATTTGCATGAAATTTGTAGTTTTCATGATCCAATAAAAAAAACCTGTGAGTCATTTGTCACCCGAGCTCATATTTTCAAAAAAAATGTACCTGGCATGCAGGGACTTGTATACGTTAAATGGTGTATAATTTTCTTTCTACAATCAATCGGTATTTTTTTATTAGATCACCATCATTGAGATATAACAAATTCGTAATTATGATAATTAGAAAACAAGCGGTCTATCTATTAAATATCTTGATCATCTCGACAACAAAGTCAGAATAGGGAGAGGGCGAGGGCGAGAGGCTAGTATGCTAATATTTTTTGGTTAGTATGATGCTAACACTTCCTTTAGTTGATAGGAATATTTCGTTTGGATAATTTTTTAATTTAAATGAGTTGACCACAATTAATGAGGGGGAAGTAGTGGAGGGGCGCGCTTAATATTATGAAATATTTGGGAGGAAAGGATCATCATAACTTGCGCATTAGATGGGGGAGGGTTACATTAATTAGGGGACCATAAAATTTTAGACCACAATCACAAGAAACCATAGTAAAAGAAAACCGCAAACCTTAGAAAGGAGACCACAACCTCATCAACGATTTCTTCTCGATTCCTCCTCCACAACGTTGTGTGGAGCCGCAGTGGTCGCGATGGTGCTCTTCGACGCCAGCCTTAAAGAATCTAGCATGGCGATGTTGCGTAGTGACGGAAATCGATTCCAGTTCTACCTCTTGCATCAGCCCTAAATACTCCTTGCTTCACTATGATTAATTGAACGTGTGAGAAATTATAATTAATTAGTTAAGGATCCCGTAGGTCGTGAGGGTATGGACTTGAGTGTGGATATCCACGGGTTGGATATGACTAAACCCAAACCCAAACCACTAAAAGTATAGCGGGTTTAAACCCGAACCGGATCACAATCCGTTAAAACGAGTTTTATCCTCGTTGACCGAATTGGGTCGGATAGTGTACTCGCGAATTTGGGTTCTACTGTCATCCATAGGACAAGAATAGAGCTTGAGTAGTCATCTGTGGAAATAAAATTAACAGTAAATTTCCTGTGGCCCAAATCTAGCCCACTCCCAGTTCGCAATGGAAAGCAAGGCACCTATAGGCTATAGCAGAATATGGGCTATTAATAAAATCCACATTCATTTTCTCATTTCGGCCCATCAACAAACGACGCTGTTTGGCCTCTCTCCAGTCAACACAAAACCCAGGTCAGTGCGTCGGACCATCGAATTCCGATCTCACTCGCATTTCACCGGCGAGGTCCGCTGCCAACTCGGATTCCGATATCTCTCCCCCCTAAGCCGCGCCCGCCATGGAGGAACGCAGTTACCAGGCTCAGGATGTTACCAGCAAGGATTTGCTCAGCTCTGATAACACTGTGGTTCCCGTGGATTTCTACGAAATTGCCGGCGATGACTCCTCTGAGCAGAAGTAATGCGTGGCTTACTGAATTCTTTCGTCATTGCTTGCCCTGTTACTTTTTTCTCAGCTTTGCATGCAATATCTGGAGCTGGGTTTTGGAGTGATGCTGTTTTGGATTCCTAGGGTTTATGAGAAAAAGTTCCCCCTTTTGACACTTAGAATGATGCTGCATTAGTTGTAAGAATGTCACATTTCCTTACGGAAGGCTGCTCAAGATAAGAAGTTATTGCTCCTAAAACCTAGCATGCCCATGGTGTTCTAGTTACCAAATCGACGGTATTGCTGTTTCATAATCGCACATGGGTAGCAACGGAGGCTCCCCCGAAAGGCTTTAGGAAGGGGGAACAATTGGGTTTGCAGAAATTTTAGGCGGTCTGGTTATCTGGAGTTAATTGCTATCTGTTCACCACCTTACATATTCCCCCTTTGGTGGTGGTTAGCCATGGTGATAACTGATAAGGGTTATTTGAAACCTCTTGTTTGTAGAGGGGTTATGATAGTGAAATTGCGCCGTGTGCAAGAACTAAGACTCGGGGCTATAACTAGGAAATGTATTGGGAAAGATCAAGCGAAATGTTCCCCAGCAGCCACCGTGACTTTCATGTATGAACCAGAGATCAATATCAATGAAGATATGATGGCAAGATTGTCACTTGAGGAGAAGCAAAGTATAGTAGAGAGCAGCCCTACTAAGGTTTTCGACATCGATCCTACTACCCAACAGGTTGGTGAAACAATGCATCTTTGAATTTTGAATGATTGCTGCCTTGTCCTTTACCAAATAATTTATGTTAGGGTTTTATCTGATTGCTTCAAAGTGGTTTTGCTTTCTTTGAATGATTGTGTTTGCGGGTTTTGCTTGTGGATACTGAAGCATATACTTACGATGATGAAGTTATCAAGAAATTGGAATCAATGGGGAAGACAGGGCTTATGGACGGTTAAAGCTAAGGAGGACAGTTTCATATTCACGGTTGAGACGACCGGTGCTGTTAAAGGCTTCTCAGTTGGTGCTCAATGCCATAGACATCCTTAAACAAAAGCTGGATGCTGTTTGTTTGTCTGATGAATGATGATACGGTTGAAGCTGACGATCAGTTTGGTGAACTTGGTGTTCATATACGTGGAGGATAGGTAGTCTGCAGCTAGTAAATCAGACATGGTGAATATTTGGGAGGAGTTAGGACGCATCCCTGAACAAGGTCTTCCTTTTCTCTGCTTACTTTCATGTTGGGTTGAATGTAGCACTGGTTCAACCATCGCAGTCTTGCTTGGCATCTCATCATCTGTCTTCTTCCTCTTGTCATGGACGACAGAGTACACAATACATATATTTACGACAGCCGAGCCGACGACGCAAATGCATACAAAGTCAGTTAGCCCATCTCGTTCCTTAGCTATGATTTGATGATATAACAATGTGTACTATCGCGAACCAAAAGGCAGGCAGGCAGGAACAGGCACAGGCTCACTCACTCACGGGTGTAATTAGCTCAGCTCAAACATGGCCAGATCTCTCTCCATCCTTTCATCTTTTTGGTTCTTTCTGGAAATCGAAACAAAAATGAAAACGAAAGTGCTTGCCGTTTCTTTTGCTGAAAAGCCCAACCACCCCACCACCAATTCGTTTCTTTTGCCCCGAAAACGTGGATGCAAATTGCAGAATGATCTTCTTGTTATTCTCTTCTTTCACCTATGTGCTGTATATAGAAGAGGAAATCATTTCATTTGGATCGAAATAAGGAGACCGCGCGCCAAAACTCTCTCTGCAAGTCGCCGTCACACCGCCCTACGGACGGTCACCTTCATCATATATGTGTGTTTGCCGTTACTTCAATTGAGAGAAGAGACGAGACATGTTGGGCCTGAAATTTTAACGCAAATTGTTTGAAGGCGACTCTCTCTCTCTCTCTCTCCCCCCATTTGCAGTGCTGTATTTGGTTGTATACAGGACGAGGTAAGAAGATGAATCTCGTGCAGATGTGATGCTAATGCCACGTACCTGCTGCTGCTACCTAGTTGGAAATGTCATATCCCATCCCTGGTAACATCTTTGACATTTTCAAGTAGCTAGCTAGTAAGGTTAATTCAACTTAGCACGATTCTTGTATAAAAGCTATTGAATGAAACTATGTCGCGCTACGATATGATGGGCCTATTATTATTATTATTATTATTATTATTTGTTTTGGAACTCTTAATTATTATGTCCTTGTCAAGTAGAATTGTTCGCTTCTCGTCATAAGAGGATCTCTCACTGGTAAGTTATAATACAAGTTACTATCCGTTCGTTTTATAACCACGTTTAAGGGATGCATACACCACGATACGTAACGAGTGCAGTATTAACATATACATGCACTTGATTGACTAACAAATTTCACAGCTGGAAGAGCCAAGAATCAATGGATGCATGGTCACTCTCACTCTCCATCTCTCATTGCATGAACCAGGTTGAGTAGGGTTCATTATGATCCAACAAAAACATATATTTTGAGATCTGCTGTTACTCTTCAATCACTTTCTTGCACCATTTTCATCAGTTGCATAGAATAGGTCATTTTTGGGGGGCCTGCTCCCCATCTGTCATATTATTACTGTCCTTCTTCCCCCACAAACCCATGCTTGGTTGGGTTTCTTACATCAACAAAATGGTACTACTGCTTACTCTCACACTAACACATATCAATCTTCTTCTTTCTTTTTGGGTTTACACATCTGCATTCACAACGCATCAACTGTGAATGAATTTCCCCACCTTCCCGTTTCCCATTCTGGTTCACACATTATTGTTTTTTGTGTCATATTGCCTTCTGTAAATTAATCTCCCCATTGTTACAATGCCATGATGGTGCTTTTTGAAGTGTTCTTCTGCCCCATGCAAGTTTTAACCCAAAACTATGCAACTCAACATAGGTGGTAGGCAGAGTGAATGAGGCAATGCAGTTTGCAGTTGCAGCCACAGACTGCAATAGCAAAGCGAAACAGAAGAAGAAAAGGCAGCTAGCCCATTAAAGCAAATGCAAAAATTGGGCAATGCCATCCTTGTGAAAGTTTTTAATTTGGGTTGTGCAGAATTTATAAAAGGAAAAGATAACAAGGTACCATATATGTAATATATAATAAATTTAGGGGGGGAGGCAACCATTTCCCAGGCTGTCACAAGAGATACCCAAAATCTTTGTCTGAAACAACAGACATGCTTGCAGAATGGATGGGAACCAAAGTTTTCTTTTTTGCTCTTTATTATTTATTTATTTTCACATATTTGGGGACAATGACAATTATATATAAGCTGAATCTTTTTTTCAACACACCAAATACTTTTATTGTCCTTTTCTAAACCCAATTCTTTGCAAGATGGACAGTTGAGGACCTTAAATGCCCAATCCCCTTCCCCATTCCTATCTTCCCATCCCTTCACAATTTACTCCTCACCTTTTTTCCACTTGTAACTCTTTGGCTCTTTTACCTCCCAAGATTGTAACTTTTTTTCCATTTTTTTCATTTTTACCTATTGAATTTGGCTTTGTTCACTTACATCTACCCTTATTATTAAGGACCACCAACCCCATATCTCTGCTCTTGCAATAAATCCTCCTATTCAATGCTACTTGTCTAGTTCCCATTTAACACTTGTGCTTTGCTTCCTCATCGTCCTACATCTTCTTCACCTCCTCCTCCTTCTTGGGCTTCTATTTATGTATCCAATGTAAATATGTTAGCTAACCTTTATATGGTGTTGTGATATTAGTTAGGAATATATGGTTGAGTTTGGGCAGAGTACTGGAGGACAATTTTCGAAAGGTTATATTCATTTTATAAGGTCCCATCCTCCAACTGTAAAACTGGAGTTTTTACTGGAGTTCAAATCGTACAATTTTGGACACTTCCTCCCTGCAATTAGCTCCTCCCTTCAGAGTTTAGAGGGAAGTTTTGAACATAAAACTTAATTTTTTTTTGTCATAGATAGTGGTAATGAATAGATAGAGATCGACAAGCAACTAAACGCGATAGTTATTCCTAATTGATTTGCTGATAAAAGAGCCATTTGAATTATTAAATGGGCAGCTTTGTTAGTCCCTAAAAATAAAGTGAAAATAAACACTAAACTAAAAGGATGAAACGCTAAATGGACACATATAACTTAATCTTGGTTTTCAATGTAGATTTTATTACTTGATGATGGTACTTGGGACATTGTTTAAATGAGATGTAATTTTTATAATTCAAATTCCAAATTTATGAGACATTTTGTTAGCCTCCTTTAATAGAGAGGACCAATGCATGAGAGTCATAACAGGACCAAGAGTGAATATTTGAATTAAGTTATTAGGAAATTTAATTAATTGATTAGAGTCGTAATTGGAACCGATAAAATAGTATGATTTAATAAAAGTTAGGACGTAAAAGTCTTGTAACTTCATCCCTACTTGTATAAATCATAATCAAGTTATTTTGTCAACGAACTATTTTTGAGACACTACAATTTTCAGTGGATGGATTCGAGTTCTTCTCAGTCTGAGAAATTAGACAATGAAAGTTGTTTCGAAAAGCTACCAAACATAGATTGTATGGATTCGAGTTCTTCTCAGTCGAGAAATTAGACAATAAAAGTTGTTTCGAAAAGCTACCAAACATAGATTGTTCTATTTGATCGTCTGAATCACTACTTTGATAAATTAATTAAAGTTTCACCTTATCTTACATATGCAGATTTCATATTACCTTCCTATGGGGACAACCTATCTCTGTACAGGCACAACTGCATTGAATATATGGAAGGGTAAAAGAAAATACAACCATGTTTTATACTCAAGAAAGAGATAGGTGCAGCACAAACCCAACCAACACCACTTGATGATATTGATTGTTCTTTGAATTTGCAGATTTGGCTTGACTACTAAAAATAAATAACAACTTGGCATTGCATGCATGGAATTTATAAGCAGATTGTGACCACTTGAAATTATGCTCTATACATACCCATAAAAGATCCCCACACATTTTTCTCTCCATTGCATTGGATGCCCATTTGGTACTCTTTGATGAAGAAGAGAAGCAAAAAGGAAAAGGGGGGAAAAACATTTATCTCTCACATTTAGCACAATTACTTGATTCACGCAATGGATGTGCAATAGCAAAACTGGTTTGACATAGGTTAAAATATCATTTAACAGCATGCTTTCATGGTAAAATTGTATACATAGGGTACTAGACTTTATCGTACTAACAATTTGATCACTTAACTTTGATTTGCTTACATACCAATCTACAAATTCTAGAATAATTAACAAAACAGGCCAATATTTGCCTACCTTAGATTTTTCGTCTACATAATCCATATATATTGATTAGCATATCAATTTGTCTACATTGATAACAAGACAAAATACACATAAACCCTAATTAGCTTACATGAATTCCCTTTGGAGTAACCAACAATCAATCCAACCGAAACTCATTACTCGATCCAATTCAAAACCATGATACTGAAAATCGTCCTATTTGCTTTCTCTTCCTATCCAATGACTAAGTAGATGATTCATGAAGCACACTAATACAAAGTGAAACTTCATACACAACACAACTGCATCAAAATCATAAGTTCGGTGTTTGATTTATCAGCGACTCTAAAGTATCGTGACCATCTATATAAATTGACCTGGATGTTTCAATTGGAAGGGAGAGAAAGAACCAGAGAGAGGGACCCTTCGTTTTGGTGTTCTGTTTCTGAATCTGATCTCATCTGCACTAACTAGTATAACCATTGGGGGCCAGCCTGAGAAAGACTTGCTCTGCTCAAGAACAACAAGGACCATACCAGCTGCATGAGGCTCTTAATTATTCAATACCCTCCCCTCCCACCCTCCTTTCCTTTCCAACCCCATAAATTTCCATATCTTTTGTTGTGTATTTTAGTATTTTTCCCACCCATTTTTACATGTTTTTATTTTTGTAACTAGTGAGAAATTATATTGGGATGTGGTTCAATTCAATTATTGAGTTTGGTGGTGGTGTAGTCTGACTGTCTGAGTAGTAGAAACTTCTTTCACATGCATCTTCATGGTTCTATAATCTCATGTATGAAAGGAGTTTTTTTTTTTTTTTTGTTTGTTTGGTTATTTAATGCAAGTGAGCAAATGGGTTATTAATGTTTCTTAGAATTTTAGCTACTTATAATTGTGGTTGTTGTGATTGTTTGAGAAGTGAACTTTTATGTGAGTCATGTACATTGGCGTAGATGAATTAATGTCAAACATTCTTTTTATCCACAATGCTAGCTACTCTACAATCTACATTCTTTATGGTAATCTGGATTTTTTTTTTAAAACAATGGAGGCGTAAAACACACCTAAGAAGATTGGTTCGGAGAAAGACTGAAAGGGCGGGTGAGACCTGCTAATCAAATATTCGACATTTGAAAGCAACGCCGCTCATAGCATCCTTTGTGATCATGACTAAGGCAGGGGCAGAATTTTCAAACTTGTGCAATCTAAATAGGTAGGCGATAATTTACTTCAAGAGCTAATCAACAACCCTATTGCGTTCGCAATATGTATGAGATGCACCAACCAATCACTCTATCAATAAAGATATAGTCACTGTACATTACTGATATACTAATGTGTATATAATTGAAATGTATATTTAAGTAGCCCTAACAACTGATGAATAAATGTAGTGTTCAGTACGACATAACAAAAAAACATCATTGCTATACTATCAGAAACTAAAATGTGTACATGCATGGGAAGACAAGTCTGTTAATTGATACTGATATCTCAACCACTATTATATATATGAACAGATTATATAATATGATGATTGTCTTGTTCTCGCAGTAATCTCTGCCATCATAATAATTCTAATCAATCTTATGTTATACTTCTCAATTAGCTACACAAGTGAAACATTAGTATGACATTTCTAGTTGAGTGTTGGCCCACTTATATTTATCAAAACCCAAAATTCTACTGAGGAGAAAGAATTATAATCATTATAACATTTGCCAAATGTAGGAAATGCAAGTGTGATATACATGTTTGCATTTATTGAAATAGATTTAATTGAAATTTATAGGCTTTCCAGCCATTGATCAGCTGTGACATGTAAACCTACATGATGGGTAAGGGGTAT